AAATAGCGGACACAATTGCACACTTTCTCGCACTCACAAAATGACAAGAGACTTTCTGAGCTGGGAATAATGGTGAAGGTCTGCAGTGAGTGAGGGGTTATGGGCTACAAAGAGGAAAGGGGGAGGGTAGACGGATAAGAGGAAGTTGTACATTTTGTACATATTTGTTTGAATGTCAGCATTCTAGAATGAGTCATGTTCTGACTACAGTCATTTTCATCCAGGTGTTTCATTCATATTCAGTCAAAAAGCATCGGCAGTGCCAGACTTTTGTTGTAACTCAAGATTCAGCAGCCCTAGTCTACTTTCAGCCCTGGTTTTTAGCCTTGGTTTTCAGCCCTCCTCCATTATTTTCACTACAACGTGATTTTTTGGGTTTTAAATACCTGTGGGATGTGAGATTATGTTTCAGAAACATAAACTAAAACTTATACTTGCCTCTTATGCCTCTATAAATGTAAAACTTGTATACTTCTTTTTTATTATTATTATTTTCAAGATAGAGATGGTATACTTGTTATTTGATGCTAGACTTAGAGATTTTGTTTACGTTAATTAGTATAGCTATTGTTCACTTTTCTTATCTTGTGCAGTGTGCTCCTCTTTCCTACTGTTCTATAACTTGCAATGCAACACTGGCATTTCCCCACTGTGGGACAAAAAAAGGATATCTTAATCTTAATCTAATGTAAACTTTCTTCTACACAATTTTGGGACGGGTTTGTGTTCAGAGGGTGCTTTGTCCTCACTGTCCTCCCCGCTGTAGAATCATGCAGAGAACTAAAGTACACACCTTGGTTTACACACCGCTCCTCTTTTTTCCACCACTCTTTATATTTTCCTTGTTCTTTTTCAAAAATGCTCAAAGCAAAGACTGTTCTCTCCTCATACAAAGTGATTCCACAGGTGGTTCAATGTGTGAGATTATTAAACATTTCCCATCTCATATTGAATTTTAAAATGCATCCATTAGCCTTGTAAATTTGACATTTTCATTCTTCATTGTTTTGCTTTTCGTTTTACCTTGCTCCTCACTTCAGCACAGATAATTTGTTGTTTTGAGAGACTGCATGAGCGCCCGCTGTTGCTGGTATGGACTCAAGCAACTCGAGCCACCAGTCACAGAGGGGTGTTCTACTCAAAATGTTGCGAAATGGATCATTCCAACAACAGAAACTGGCGCACTAAGGGTCTAATTTATCGCGCATTTGCTCACTTGTGCATATTGTGCTTGCGCAGATGGACAGAAGTAAAACGATCGCCCATTTGCAGAAAAAAATATTCATAACTGTAAGAGCGTTGAAACATTGGATAGTGGATAGCACTCTCGCTTTTCAGCAAGAAGGTCCTGGGTACTAATCCCAGTCGGATCAGGGCCTCTCTGAGTGGAGTTTTCACGTTCTCCCCATGTCTGCGTAGGTTTCTTCTGGGTTCTCCGGTTTCCTCCGGGTACTCCGGTCCCCCTACCTAAAAACATGCACAATAGGTATGAATGTAACAAGAGGGTGAATGGATGGTGTTGGTTGGGGCTTTGATGCACCAGTGTGTTCAGCGACTCGCTTCCATCATCACCGTGTGTGGAGAGAAAGGACATCTGAACTCATTTATCTCAACAATTGTGAAGCCCTAGCCACTATATAAATAAGCCTTACTTACTTACCCACTAAATACCCAGCACAGGGACTGGACTCCTGTTAGTGCCCAGAGTCAGAACTAAACATGGCCTCCCCATGTTTAGTTCTGACTCTGCTTTTCAGATTCATGCTGCTAAAATCTTTCTTTTTAACGTTCTGTGATTATTTATGATTTTAATGCTTTCTTTTTTTGTTCAGCACTTTGAATTGCCATGTGTATGAATTGTGCTATACAAATAAACTTGCCTTGCCTTGCCTTACATTGCACCTGACCGAACAAGGTGACAATTGCAAAATTACCTGCTTTTATTGAGCAGAGTGACAGATGCTGGAAAATGTTCAAATCTGTTCCTTCAGTGCCAAAAATGAAAATGTCATAAGATTATTTTGTTTCATTGGGAAAAATATGCATTACTTGGATATATTATTGTGACACCTGCATATATCGCTATAGCACAACGTATTCAATATGGATTATAGCCCCAAATGAACTCAAACAAAAAAAGACTATAGGGCTTGTATCAGACCTGGGATATTTCATTCAATCTATAAACTTGAGAACTGTTTTATGTGGAACTCGACCTCTGTCACATCACATTGTAAAAGTGCAGAACAGTGGAGTGATAAAGATTACCTTATGTCTATCCTTCATTGCACTTGGCTGTGTTTATTTTATTTATACGGGGAAGGCTCAATGAGAGTTTCAGAGAACTTTTCATAGTGCCCTATTCCAATACAAAAGAACAACCAACAGCACAATAATAGACTATAATTGAAAGGTATACAGGGGGATTTTCCCACATTTTAGGAAAGAGCCCCACCCTGGTCTTATTTGACGAGCACGTATCACCAGAATGATTGACAGTTATGAGGATCTGGAAGTAGAAAATCCTCCTACTGTATATACCTTTAAATACAAGTGCAGTTGTGCTTGTAAGATTACAATACCAAATGATGAATACGTCAAAGAATGTCTAAGTTAAATTATACATACAATTTTTGAGAATCAAAATAGTTAATTATTGAGAGAGTTCTGAGAGCTGTCGTTGTTCCCACTATTACTATTTCAGACGGCACACCAAACTTGTAAAGGTTTATGTGTGCATCAACATTCATGATCTCGAACCACGCCACAGACACGTACAATAAAGTGTTTATTGCATACGATATTTTCTGACAGAGTGAGATGAAGATGAGATTTGCTGGTGGTTAAGAATTTTATTTCATACTTAAGTGATCTTGATGTCATTCTGCTTGCCAATTGTAAAGCGCTTTGTGACAGTGAAAGTTACTTACTTAGCTATAGATCCAATTCCCTTTTGATGAAATCTGAAGGAGTTAGTTATTTATCCCTGAAATGTACTGTACTCATATAAACTAACCTACCAATATTACTAAAAGAGGAAAACAAAAAAAGCTAAGAAGTTTAAATTGCCAAGCATGTGATTGAAATATAAGGCTAAGGTACGCTGTTTGGAAGTGGTGTCTGTCATGAGCTCCGGTTTGAGTCCAAGGCTGTGATGTAATGATCATCATCAGTGGAAAAGATGGAGGAAGATCCACATGTAATGAAAGCTCTTGCTGCTATTTCTGCTCACAGAACATTGCAGACGTTGTACTGAGCTGTAAAAAATGGATGCTTTGAACAACATTTTACATTTGTCCAACATATCCATGGGGAATTCAACTGCCTCTAAGCTGGAGTATCTTACTTTACCATCACCAACAATATATTTCATCAAATATTTTCTCACTCTTCAAACTGCTTGGTCCGCACATGTGCATCCCTACTTTTTCAGTATGAGTATATATATATGGTACTGACTTTCCACTATACCAACAATGTGATCTATACGCTGTACCATTAGATCTACATTCTAAGCACACACATATGGTTCACCTGCAAATCAATACAGGTTTTTCATTCCTCCAGGATCATCTTGGTATCATGTGAATATGTAAATGTGTTACTAATGTATATATTTTTTTATTTTCTGTGCTGTGGTTCTTTGTCATCCGAAACGTCACATCTTGTGGTGCAAATTAAAATCTCTTGGGAGCTAAAGCTGTGCAGAGTCATCTCCATTTTTTCTGATTTTTTTCCACATCTTACTCAAACGACATCCATCTGTTGGGACAAAAAGCGTTACATTTATGACACACAAAAGTGAGGTATCCAGCTTTAACAACAGTGCAGTAGGGAACAGTGCAGTAGGGAACAGTGCAGAAGGGAACAGTGCAGAAGGGAACAGTGCAATAGGGAACAGTGCAGTAGGGAACGGTGCAGTAGGGAACAGTGCAGAAGGGAACAGTGCAATAGGGAACAGTGCAGTAGGGAACAGTGCAGAAGGGAACAGTGCAATAGGGAACAGTGCAGTAGGGAACAGTGCAGAAGGGAACAGTGCAATCGGGAACAGTGCAGTAGGGAACGGTGCAGTAGGGAACGGTGCAGTAGAGAACGGTACAGTAGGGAACGGTGCAGTAGAGAACGGTACAGTAGGGAACAGTGCAGTAGGGAACAGTGCAGTAGGGAACGGTGCAGAAGGAAACAGTGCAGTAGGGAACAGTGCAGTAGGGAACGGTGCAGTAGGGAACGGTGCAGTAGGGAACGGTGCAGTAGGGAACGGTGCAGTAGAGAACGGTACAGTAGGGAACAGTGCAGTAGGGAACAGTGCAGTAGGGAACAGTGCAGTAGGGAACGGTGCAGAAGGAAACAGTGCAGTAGGGAACAGTGCAGTAGGGAACAGTGCAGTAGGGAACAGTGCAATAGGGAACAGTGCAGTAGGGAACAGTATAGTAGGGAACGGTGCAGTAGGGAACGGTGCAGTAGGGAACGGTGCAGTAGGGAACAGTACAGTAGGGAATAGTGCAGTAGGGAACAGTGCAGTAGGGAACATTGCAGTAGGGAACAGTGCAGTAGGGAACGGTGCAGTAGGGAACGGTGCAGTAGGGAACGGTGCAGTAGGGAACAGTACAGTAGGGAATAGTGCAGTAGGGAACAGTGCAGTAGGGAACAGTGCAGTAGGGAACGGTGCAGTAGGGAACGGTGCAGTAGGGAACGGTGCAGTAGGGAACAGTGCAGTAGGGAACAGTGCAGTAGGGAACAGTGCAGTAGGGAACAGTGCAATAGGGAACAGTGCAGTAGGGAACAGTGCAGTAGGGAACAGTACAGTAGGGAACAGTGCAATAGGGAACAGTGCAGTAGGGAACATTGCAGTAGGGAACAGTGCAGTAGGGAACAGTGCAGTAGGGAACAGTGCAGAAGGGAACAGTGCAGTAGGGAACAGTACAGTAGGGAATAGTGCAGTAGGGAACAGTGCAATAGGGAACAGTGCAGTAGGGAACATTGCAGTAGGGAACAGTGCACTAGGGAACGGTGCAGTAGGGAACGGTGCAGTAGGGAACGGTGCAGTAGGGAACAGTACAGTAGGGAACGGTGCAGAAGGAAACAGTGCAGTAGGGAACAGTGCAATAGGGAACAGTGCAGTAGGGAACGGTACAGTAGGGAACAGTGCAGTAGGGAACAGTGCAGAAGGGAACAGTGCAGTAGGGAACGGTGCAGTAGGGAACGGTGCAGTAGGGAACGGTGCAGTAGGGAACAGTGCAGTAGGGAACGGTGCAATAGGGAACAGTGCAGTAGGGAACATTGCAGTAGGGAACAGTGCAGAAGGGAATAGTGCAGTAGGGAACAGTGCAGTAGGGAACAGTGCAGTAGGGAACGGTGCAGTAGGGAACGGTGCAGTAGGGAACGGTGCAGTCGGGAACGGTGCAGTAGGGAACGGTGCAGTAGGGAACGGTGCAGTAGGGAACGGTGCAGAAGGAAACAGTGCAGTAGGGAACAGTGCAGAAGGGAATAGTGCAGTAGGGAACAGTGCAATAGGGAACAGTGCAGTAGGGAACATTGCAGTAGGGAACGGTGCAGTAGGGAACAGTGCAATAGGGAACAGTGCAGTAGGGAACGGTGCAGTAGGGAACGGTGCAGTAGGGAACGGTGCAGTAGGGAACAGTGCAGAAGGGAATAGTGCAGTAGGGAACAGTGCAATAGGGAACAGTGCAGTAGGGAACATTGCAGTAGGGAACAGTGCAGAAGGGAATAGTGCAGTAGGGAACAGTGCAATAGGGAACATTGCAGTAGGGAACAGTGCAGTAGGGAACGGTGCAGTAGGGAACGGTGCAGTAGGGAACGGTGCAGTAGGGAACAGTGCAATAGGGAACAGTGCAGTAGGGAACAGTGCAGTAGGGAACGGTGCAGTAGGGAACGGTGCAGTAGGGAACGGTGCAGTAGGGAACGGTGCAGTAGGGAACGGTGCAGTAGGGAACGGTGCAGAAGGGAACAGTGCAGTAGGGAACAGTGCAATAGGGAACAGTGCAGTAGGGAACATTGCAGTAGGGAACAGTGCAGTAGGGAACGGTGCAGTAGGGAACGGTGCAGTAGGGAACGGTGCAGTAGGGAACAGTGCAATAGGGAACAGTGCAGTAGGGAACGGTGCAGTAGGGAACGGTGCAGTAGGGAACGGTGCAGTAGGGAACGGTGCAGTAGGGAACGGTGCAGTAGGGAACAGTGCAGTAGGGAACGGTGCAGTAGGGAACGGTGCAGTAGGGAACGGTGCAGTAGGGAACGGTGCAGTAGGGAACGGTGCAGTAGGGAACGGTGCAGTAGGGAACGGTGCAGTAGGGAACGGTGCAGAAGGAAACAGTGCAGTAGGGAACAGTGCAGTAGGGAACAGTGCAATAGGGAACAGTGCAGTAGGGAACATTGCAGTAGGGAACAGTGCAGTAGGGAACAGTGCAGTAGGGAACGGTGCAGTAGGGAACGGTGCAGTAGGGAACGGTGCAGTAGGGAACAGTGCAGTAGGGAACAGTGCAGTAGGGAACAGTGCAGTAGGGAACGGTGCAGTAGGGAACGGTGCAGAAGGAAACAGTGCAGTAGGGAACAGTACAGTAGGGAATAGTGCAGTAGGGAACAGTGCAATAGGGAACAGTGCAGTAGGGAACATTGCAGTAGGGAACAGTGCAGTAGGGAACAGTGCAGTAGGGAACAGTGCAGTAGGGAACAGTGCAGTAGGGAACAGTACAGTAGGGAATAGTGCAGTAGGGAACAGTGCAATAGGGAACAGTGCAGTAGGGAACATTGCAGTAGGGAACAGTGCAGTAGGGAACGGTGCAGTAGGGAACGGTGCAGTAGGGAACGGTGCAGTAGGGAACGGTGCAGTAGGGAACGGTGCAGTAGGGAACGGTGCAGTAGGGAACGGTGCAGTAGGGAACGGTGCAGTAGGGAACGGTGCAGTAGGGAACAGTGCAGTAGGGAACGGTGCAGTAGGGAACGGTGCAGTAGGGAACAGTACAGTAGGGAACGGTGCAGAAGGGAACAGTGCAGTAGGGAACGGTGCAGAAGGGAACAGTGCAGTAGGGAACAGTGCAGTAGGGAACAGTACAGTAGGGAACGGTGCAGTAGGGAACGGTGCAGTAGGGAACGGTGCAGTAGGGAACGGTGCAGTAGGGAACAGTACAGTAGGGAACGGTGCAGAAGGGAACAGTGCAGTAGGGAACAGTGCAGAAGGGAACAGTGCAGTAGGGAACAGTGCAGTAGGGAACAGTGCAGTAGGGAACGGTGCAATAGGGAACGGTGCAGTAGGGAACAGTGCAGTAGGGAACAGTGCAGTAGGGAACGGTGCAATAGGGAACAGTGCAGAAGGGAACAGTGCAGAAGGGAACAGTGCAGAAGGGAACAGTGCAATAGGGAACAGTGCAGTAGGGAACAGTACAGTAGGGAACGGTGCAGTAGGGAACGGTGCAGTAGGGAACGGTGCAGTAGGGAACGGTGCAGTAGGGAACAGTACAGTAGGGAACGGTGCAGAAGGGAACAGTGCAGTAGGGAACAGTGCAGAAGGGAACAGTGCAGTAGGGAACGGTGCAGAAGGAAACAGTGCAGTAGGGAACAGTACAGTAGGGAATAGTGCAGTAGGGAACAGTGCAATAGGGAACAGTGCAGTAGGGAACAGTGCAGTAGGGAACGGTGCAGTAGGGAACGGTGCAGTAGGGAACGGTGCAGTAGGGAACAGTGCAGTAGGGAACAGTGCAGTAGGGAACAGTGCAGTAGGGAACGGTGCAGTAGGGAACGGTGCAGAAGGAAACAGTGCAGTAGGGAACAGTACAGTAGGGAATAGTGCAGTAGGGAACAGTGCAATAGGGAACAGTGCAGTAGGGAACAGTGCAGTAGGGAACAGTGCAGTAGGGAACAGTGCAGAAGGGAACAGTGCAGTAGGGAACAGTACAGTAGGGAATAGTGCAGTAGGGAACAGTGCAATAGGGAACAGTGCAGTAGGGAACATTGCAGTAGGGAACAGTGCAGTAGGGCAGTGGTTCTCTAAGTGGGGTCCTCGGACCCCCAGGGGTCCGTGGCCCGATATCAGGGGGTCCGTGAAAAGGGTTGGCTATTAATAAGAAAACTATATTTTATATTATTTTATTTTATATTAATTATTAATAATATTTACACGATTTTATATAACCGTGTGAATATTCACAAATCGACACTAAGTTTAATCTGCTATTTTTATATGAAATATAAATAAATAAAAAATAGATCCACGTAAATCACGTCCACTTATCAGTGACGAGCTTTGACGCGCGCAGGTTCTGCCTAGCTACTCAGCCATGGATGCGTTTTTTAACACCGTCAACTTCATCTAATGGGGAAAAGGAAAAAAGTAAATTGTCTAAAGTTAAACAAAGAAAATACAGTGAGGACTACATCCAATTCGGATTTATTGAAAACAAGGATGGACGACCAAAATGCGCTTTGTGTCTGCAAGTGCTTGCTAATGAGGCGATGAAGCCTGCGAAGCTAAAGCGACACCTCATCACAAAGCACCCAGAGTTTAAAAACAAATCTAAGGACTTTTTCAAACGCAAAGCAGAAGAATATGGACACCAGAAAAAACGAATGGTGGAGTTAACTTCAGTTTCAGAAAAAGCGCAGATGGCCTCTTATCTGGTGGCTCAACGCATTGCTAAATGTAAGAAGCCTCACACCATTGGACAACAACTTTTACTCCCAGCCGCAGTGGACATGTGTGAAGTCATACTTGGCGCAGAGCTCAAATAAGCTAAAAGTGATTCCACTTTCAAATGACACCGTAAGAAGGCGAATACAGGAGCTGGCTGCAGACATCGAAGCACAGCTGCTGGACAGACTGCGTTCATGTGAGCAGTTTTCAATTCAGCTGGACGAATCTACGGATATAGCTAATGCCGCTCAGTTAATTGTGTTGGTGCGATATCCATGGGAAGATGATATTGTGGAGGATTTCTTGTTTTGCAAAGAGCTACCTGGGAGAACAACGGGCAAGGAGGTATTCAGACTTGTAGACGCTTTCATGACAGATGCGAGTCTGAGCTGGGACAGGTGTGTGGCTGTTTGCACGGATGGTGCAGCCGCTATGACAGGGCGGAAAAGTGGACTTATTGCGCGCGTTAAGTCCGTCAACCCAAACATCATAGCGACGCACTGCATGTTACATCGACAGGCCTTGGCAGAAAAGACATGGACCCGGATCTCCACTCTGTTTTAAATACTGCTGTTTCTGCTGTAAACTTTGTGAAGTCAAGAGCGCTGCAGTCCCGTTTGTTTGGACAACTTTGCCGGGACATGGATGCTGAGCATGAAGCGCTGCTTTATCACTCGGAGGTGCGCTGGCTCTCTCGTGGTAAAGTTTTGCAGCGGGTCTTTGAGTTGCGCAAAGAAATGGGAGAGTTTTTAAGAGAGCAAAAACCCGACCTCGCAGAGATTTTCACTAATCCAGAGAGTGTATGTAAATTGGCATATCTTTCGGATATTTTTAATACATTGAATGGCCTGAATCTCTCCATCCAAGGAGCGCATACATCAATACTTCAGGTTAGTGACAAAATCTCAGCCTTCATGAAGAAAACGGACCTCTGGGCACGGAGGATACAAGACGGAATAACGGACATGTTTCCCCAACTGAGTGACTTTCTTTATGCTGAGAAACTGTCTGTGAATGTTGTACAGGCTGTCGCTACTTCACATTTAACGTCACTGTGCCAGCACTTCCGCTTCTACTTTTCTGAAGTGAACACTGATGCCTGGGACTGGGTGCGCGACCCCTTTGCACCTGGATCACCCAATAGCCTCACAGGTGAGGCAGAAGAGCAACTGCTGGAAGTATCATGTGACAGGACACTGAGAGCCAGATTCCTACAGGTCAGTACTGTTAACTTTTGGCTGTCTCTCAAACAAGACTATCCAGAACTGATAACTAAAGCTTTACAAATATTGCTCCCCTTCCCAACCACGTACCTATGCGAGTCCTCCTTTTCCACTTTGACTGCAATGAAAAATAAATACAGGGCACGTTTGCATGTAGAAGACGATCTGAGAGTTTGTCTGTCTTCCATTGCTCCAAGAATAAGGAGACTGTGTAGTCAGAAGCAGGCACATCCATCTCATTGATTTTATTCGTTTTTTGATAATATTGGACTTGTTCGAGTCAGAGAAATGTTTGAGGTGTGGAGGCAATGTTGCAACATAGCACCTTTTACTGATGTTGTTTTTGTTGTTGTTGACAAAATATTCAGTTGGCAGCAGTCTTTTTTGGGGGTAGTTGACCCAGTTTGTCTGTTTTGAAGAGGCATGCAATGTTTAATTTTCTTGTTGTGGAAACTTTAGCATAGCTGAAAAGAAGCAAATGTACTTGGTGTTCAAATATTTGAATAAAAATTGCACTTTCGTCTGATTTAAATTTATTTACTTTTTGCTTTCCTCAAAAAATGCGTTAGGGGGTCCTTGAAAATTTTGCTCATCTAAAAGGGGTCCCTGAGTCCAAAAAGTTTGAGAACCCCTGCAGTAGGGAACGGTGCAGTAGGGAACAGTGCAGTAGGGAACGGTGCAGTAGGGAACGGTGCAGTAGGGAACGGTGCAGTAGGGAACGGTGCAGTAGGGAACAGTACAGTAGGGAACGGTGCAGAAGGGAACAGTGCAGTAGGGAACGGTGCAGAAGGGAACAGTGCAGTAGGGAACAGTGCAGTAGGGAACAGTGCAGTAGGGAACAGTACAGTAGGGAACAGTGCAGTAGGGAACAGTACAGTAGGGAACGGTGCAGTAGGGAACGGTGCAGTAGGGAACGGTGCAGTAGGGAACGGTGCAGTAGGGAACGGTGCAGTAGGGAACAGTACAGTAGGGAACGGTGCAGAAGGGAACAGTGCAGTAGGGAACAGTGCAGAAGGGAACAGTGCAGTAGGGAACAGTGCAGTAGGGAACAGTGCAGAAGGGAACAGTGCAGTAGGGAACGGTGCAGAAGGAAACAGTGCAGTAGGGAACAGTACAGTAGGGAATAGTGCAGTAGGGAACAGTGCAATAGGGAACAGTGCAGTAGGGAACAGTGCAGTAGGGAACTGTGCAGTAGGGAACGGTGCAGTAGGGAACGGTGCAGTAGGGAACAGTGCAGTAGGGAACAGTGCAGTAGGGAACAGTGCAGTAGGGAACGGTGCAGTAGGGAACGGTGCAGAAGGAAACAGTGCAGTAGGGAACAGTACAGTAGGGAATAGTGCAGTAGGGAACAGTGCAATAGGGAACAGTGCAGTAGGGAACATTGCAGTAGGGAACAGTGCAGTAGGGAACAGTGCAGTAGGGAACAGTGCAGAAGGGAACAGTGCAGTAGGGAACAGTACAGTAGGGAATAGTGCAGTAGGGAACAGTGCAATAGGGAACAGTGCAGTAGGGAACATTGCAGTAGGGAACAGTGCAGTAGGGAACCGTGCAGTAGGGAACAGTGCAGTAGGGAACGGTGCAGTAGGGAACGGTGCAGTAGGGAACGGTGCAGTAGGGAACGGTGCAGTAGGGAACGGTGCAGTAGGGAACGGTGCAGAAGGGAACAGTGCAGTAGGGAACGGTGCAGAAGGGAACAGTGCAGTAGGGAACAGTGCAGTAGGGAACAGTACAGTAGGGAACGGTGCAGTAGGGAACGGTGCAGTAGGGAACGGTGCAGTAGGGAACAGTACAGTAGGGAACGGTGCAGAAGGGAACAGTGCAGTAGGGAACAGTGCAGAAGGGAACAGTGCAGTAGGGAACGGTGCAATAGGGCAGGGGTTCTCAAACTTTTTGGACTCAGGGACCCCTTTTAGATGAGCAAAATTTTCAAGGACCCCCTAACGCATTTTTTGAGGAAAGCAAAAAGTAAATAAATTTAAATCAGACGAAAGTGCAATTTTTATTCAAATATTCTAACACCAAGTACATTTGCTTCTTTTCAGCTATGCTAAAGTTTCCACAACAAGAAAATTAAACATTGCATGCCTCTTCAAAACAGACAAACTGGGTCAACTACCCCCAAAAAAGACTGCTGCCAACTGAATATTTTGTCAACAACAACAAAAACAACATCAGTAAAAGGTGCTATGTTGCAACATTGCCTCCACACCTCAAACATTTCTCTGACTCGAACAAGTCCAATATTATCAAAAAACGAATAAAATCAATGAGATGGATGTGCCTGCTTCTGACTACACAGTCTCCTTATTCTTGGAGCAATGGAAGACAGACAAACTCTCAGATCGTCTTCTACATGCAAACGTGCCCTGTATTTATTTTTCATTGCAGTCAAAGTGGAAAAGGAGGACTCGCATAGGTACGTGGTTGGGAAGGGGAGCAATATTTGTAAAGCTTTAGTTATCAGTTCTGGATAGTCTTGTTTGAGAGACAGCCAAAAGTTAACAGTACTGACCTGTAGGAATCTGGCTCTCAGTGTCCTGTCACATGATACTTCCAGCAGTTGCTCTTCTGCCTCACCTGTGAGGCTATTGGGTGATCCAGGTGCAAAGGGGTCGCGCACCCAGTCCCAGGCATCAGTGTTCACTTCAGAAAAGTAGAAGCGGAAGTGCTGGCACAGTGACGTTAAATGTGAAGTAGCGACAGCCTGTACAACATTCACAGACAGTTTCTCAGCATGAAGAAAGTCACTCAGTTGGGGAAACATGTCCGTTATTCCGTCTTGTATCCTCCGTGCCCAGAGGTCCGTTTTCTTCATGAAGGCTGAGATTTTGTCACTAACCTGAAGTATTGATGTATGCGCTCCTTGGATGGAGAGATTCAGGCCATTCAATGTATTAAAAATATCCGAAAGATATGCCAATTTACATACACTCTCTGGATTAGTGAAAATCTCTGCGAGGTCGGGTTTTTGCTCTCTTAAAAACTCTCCCATTTCTTTGCGCAACTCAAAGACCCGCTGCAAAACTTTACCACGAGAGAGCCAGCGCACCTCCGAGTGATAAAGCAGCGCTTCATGCTCAGCATCCATGTCCCGGCAAAGTTGTCCAAACAAACGGGACTGCAGCGCTCTTGACTTCACAAAGTTTACAGCAGAAACAGCAGTATTTAAAACAGAGTGGAGATCCGGGTCCATGTCTTTTGCTGCCAAGGCCTGTCGATGTAACATGCAGTGCGTCGCTATGATGTTTGGGTTGACGGACTTAACGCGCGCAATAAGTCCACTTTTCCGCCCTGTCATAGCGGCTGCACCATCCGTGCAAACAGCCACACACCTGTCCCAGCTCAGACTCGCATCTGTCATGAAAGCGTCTACAAGTCTGAATACCTCCTCGCCCGTTGTTCTCCCAGGTAGCTCTTTGCAAAACAAGAAATCCTCCACAATATCATCTTCCCATGGATATCGCACCAACACAATTAACTGAGCGGCATTAGCTATATCCGTAGATTCGTCCAGCTGAATTGAAAACTGCTCACATGAACGCAGTCTGTCCAGCAGCTGTGCTTCGATGTCTGCAGCCAGCTCCTGTATTCGCCTTCTTACGGTGTCATTTGAAAGTGGAATCACTTTTAGCTTATTTGCAGCCTCTGCGCCAAGTATGACTTCACACATGTCCACTGCGGCTGGGAGTAAAAGTTGTTGTCCAATGGTGTGAGGCTTCTTACATTTAGCAATGCGTTGAGCCACCAGATAAGAGGCCATCTGCGCTTTTTCTGAAACTGAAGTTAACTCCACCATTCGTTTTTTCTGGTGTCCATATTCTTCTGCTTTGCGTTTGAAAAAGTCCTTAGATTTGTTTTTAAAACTCTGGGTGCTTTGTGATGAGGTGTCGCTTTAGCTTCGCAGGCTTCATCGCCTCATTAGCAAGCACTTGCAGACACAAAGCGCATTTTGGTCGTCCATCCTTGTTTTCAATAAATCCGAATTGGATGTAGTCCTCACTGTATTTTCTTTGTTTAACTTTAGACAATTTACTTTTTTCCTTTTCCCCATTAGATGAAGTTGACGGTGTTAAAAACGCATCCATGGCTGAGTAGCTAGGCAGAACCTGCGCGCGTCAAAGCTCGTCACTGATAAGTGGACGTGATTTACGTGGATCTATTTTTTATTTATTTATATTTCATATAAAAATAGCAGATTAAACTTAGTGTCGATTTGTGAATATTCACACGGTTATATAAAATCGTGTAAATATTATTAATAATTAATATAAAATAAAATAATATAAAATATAGTTTTCTTATTAATAGCCAACCCTTTTCACGGACCCCCTGATATCGGGCCACGGACCCCTGGGGGTCCGAGGACCCCACTTAGAGAACCACTGCAATAGGGAACGGTGCAGTAGGGAACAGTGCAGTAGGGAACAGTGCAGTAGGGAACGGTGCAATAGGGAACAGTGCAGAAGGGAACAGTGCAGAAGGGAACAGTGCAATAGGGAACAGTGCAGTAGGGAACAGTACAGTAGGGAACGGTGCAGTAGGGAACGGTGCAGTAGGGAACGGTGCAGTAGGGAACGGTGCAGTAGGGAACGGTGCAGTAGGGAACAGTACAGTAGGGAACGGTGCAGAAGGGAACAGTGCAGTAGGGAACAGTGCAGAAGGGAACAGTGCAGTAGGGAACAGTGCAGTAGGGAACAGTGCAGTAGGGAACGGTGCAATAGGGAACGGTGCAGTAGGGAACAGTGCAGTAGGGAACAGTGCAGTAGGGAACGGTGCAATAGGGAACAGTGCAGAAGGGAACAGTGCAATAGGGAACAGTGCAGTAGGGAACGGTGCAGAAGGAAACAGTGCAGTAGGGAACAGTGCAGTAGGGAACAGTGCAGAAGGGAACAGTGCAGTAGGGAACAGTACAGTAGGGAACAGTGCAGAAGGGAATAGTGCAGTTGGGAACAGTGCAATAGGGAACAGTGCAGTAGGGAACATTGCAGTAGGGAACAGTGCAGTAGGGAACGGTGCAGTAGGGAACGGTGCAGTAGGGAACGGTGCAGTAGGGAACAGTGCAGTAGGGAACAGTGCAGTAGGGAACAGTGCAATAGGGAACAGTGCAGTAGGGAACGGTGCAGAAGGAAACAGTGCAGTAGGGAACAGTACAGTAGGGAATAGTGCAGTAGGGAACAGTGCAGTAGGGAACAGTGCAGTAGGGAACAGTGCAGAAGGGAACAGTGCAGTAGGGAACAGTACAGTAGGGAATAGTGCAGTAGGGAACAGTGCAATAGGGAACAGTGCAGTAGGGAACATTGCAGTAGGGAACAGTGCAGTAGGGAACGGTGCAGTAGGGAACGGTGCAGTAGGGAACAGTGCAGTAGGGAACGGTGCAGTAGGGAACAGTGCAGTAGGGAACGGTGCAGTAGGGAACGGTGCAGTAGGGAACAGTACAGTAGGGAACGGTGCAGAAGGGAACAGTGCAGTAGGGAACATTGCAGTAGGGAACAGTGCAGTAGGGAACAGTGCAGAAGGGAACAGTGCAGTAGGGAACAGTGCAGTAGGGAACAGTACAGTAGGGAACGGTGCAGTAGGGAACGGTGCAGTAGGGAACGGTGCAGTAGGGAACGGTGCAGTAGGGAACAGTGCAGTAGGGAACGGTGCAGTAGGGAACGGTGCAGTAGGGAACGGTGCAGTAGGGAACGGTGCAGTAGGGAACAGTACAGTAGGGAACGGTGCAGAAGGGAACAGTGCAGTAGGGAACAGTGCAGAAGGGAACACTGCAGTAGGGAACACTGCAATAGGGAACAGTGCAGTAGGGAACGGTGCAATAGGGAACGGTGCAGTAGGGAACAGTGCAGTAGGGAACAGTGCAGTAGGGAACGGTGCAATAGGGAACAGTGCAGTAGGGAACGGTGCAGAAGGGAACAGTGCAATAGGGAACAGTGCAGTAGGGAACAGTGCAGTAGGGAACAGTGCAGTAGGGAACAGTGCAGTAGGGAACAGTGCAGTAGGGAACGGTGCAATAGGGAACAGTGCAGTAGGGAACGGTGCAGAAGGGAACAGTGCAGTAGGGAACGGTGCAATAGGGAACAGTGCAGTAGGGAACAGTGCAGTAGGGAACAGTGCAGTAGGGAACGGTGCAATAGGGAACAGTGCAGTAGGGAACGGTGCAGAAGGGAACAGTGCAATAGGGAACAGTGCAATAGGGAACAGTGCAGTAGGGAACAGTGCAGTAGGGAACAGTGCAGTAGGGAACAGTGCAGTAGGGAACAGTGCAGTAGGGAACAGTGCAGTAGGGAACGGTGCAATAGGGAACAGTGCAGTAGGGAACGGTGCAGAAGGAAACAGTGCAGTAGGGAACGGTGCAGAAGGGAACAGTGCAGTAGGGAACGGTGCAGAAGGGACCAGTGCAGTAGGGAACGGTGCAGAAGGGAACAGTGCAGTAGGGAACGGTGCAGAAGGGAACAGTGCAGTAGGGAACAGTGCAGAAGGGAACAGTGCAATAGGGAACAGTGCAGTAGGGAACAGTGCAGAAGGGAACAGTGCAATAGGGAACAGTGCAGTAGGGAACAGTGCAGAAGGGAACAGTGCAATAGGGAACAGTGCAGTAGGGAACAGCGCAATACAATGTCTCAAATCCTTCTGTCAATTGTTGTAAACTGTCTCACATGTTTGTACGTGTTCAGCTGTCCTTGTACATGTCCTGTATAGAGTCTTGTGTACATTGTAATCTTTGCATAATCTGTATTGTTACGTCTTGTTTGTTTTTGTGTTCTTCTGTAAAATCAACCTGCCAGGGGGTCTGCAGATGGAAATTATATAATTTGGCATATTTACATTTGTTAAATGTTCATTAATATGCATTGTACCTCCTTTTAACACCCAAATAAATAAATAAAAGAAACAAAATAAATGATTACATATTGAAAAGACTATTTTAATTTTATCAATATAAAAATAAAAACTCTGGAACTGTATAACATTGGGCAAATTGATCAATTAATGTATACCGAGAACACTTTAGTTGAGGTTAAATATGCAACCAAATATTTCAAGTAGATAATGTTAAACTTGTCAAATACCATGTCTAGATATTTTAGAGCAGAGGTCTCCAACCTGTAGCTCGGAGCTACCAGTAGCTCACCAGCCCCTTTCAGGTAGCTCCCCAAAGGATTTAGAATTTAACACATGATCTTTAATGATTCGTTTTTGGGTCATTACGTATCTTTTATTAGTATAAAATTAGGGTTATACGATGTTATGGTATCAGTTTCCATGTTTTATCATAATCATTACATACATTTTTATTATGACCGCAAAAAGGAGTAGCTCTCTGTCTTTTGTGTTGTATTATAGTTGTTCTTTGATTGAAAATGGTTGGAGACCCCTGTTTTAGAGCATTTATACTGTATTTAGACAGCCTATATCAGGCAAGATAACTAAATCACAAGCCCAATGTAAAATATTCAAAATAAGAATATAATAAGTTTATATAAGACATCTTTTCTCATACATGAGCATTTGTTCCAAAGAGCACATTTGTCTTGGACTGTTACAATGGAAGCGCTACGCCATCTGAGCTCCTGCTGGCATCTACTCCGAGAAGGAAATTGTTAGAATATCGACTGACGCTGAAGGAATCTGCTGGATTTATGGCATGTCTCGTTAATGGAAAGCAAATAGTTCTTTGTTATACATAGCCTGGTAAAAATGTGGTTTAGATGCAGCAAGGTGGATTGATGTGCAATATAATAGGAAAACAAAACAGACATGGGCGCCGAGCTACAATGGAAACAGACGAGTGAGAGAAGAGGCTGGATGTTTAGTCATTGTGTGATGATATAAGGTCGTGTCCCAAATGAGGCCATTAAATAATTGTGTGCTGTTCATTCTAAGCACTCAGGGAACACAGCAGACCAAAACAAGTTTATTGTTTATCACATTGTGTACACATAGCAATGGCACAGTTTGGGGATAACATCACACCAGGAAGAGGAGCTGTATTGCAACAAGAGCAAAAAAGTGCAAAAAGGGATATTTATACAGGATGTGCAAACACGTTTCAATGCATTTTCCACATTCAGAATGTGAACCAAAGGCACTGGTGCGGTCAGGAATTTAAAGGAATGGTGGTCATAAATAAATCTATGGGGGACATAAGATGGGGACAGGGAAGGACGTAATTTAGAAATTTACATTATATTTGTATTTTATTTGATTAATGTAGGATGAGGATTCGAACATCATGCTGAAATATTTTGACAAAGTTGTCGTAAAGTGCAACAATCTTCTTGCCAGGGGTTGAACGATGGATTGTCAAGTCGACTGTGTGTATCTACTTGTTGAGTTGACTTAGACTTCTCAACGTTTCGTGTATCAGGTCATACTGCTGTTCCATGTTTTGTATAAAAATGGCCTGTCCCCAAAGCACATCCAAACTACTCCACACAACATTTAGTCCACCAATCAATTTTGGTATTTTTCCCAAGCTATCTCTTTACTCTAATAAAGCAATACAGTTGGATTCTTTTATTCTTGAATAGCCCTAAATCTAAACAGTAGTTATCTCAGAGGACTGAACAAAACCGTTGAAATCATTAACACAGATCAGAGAATCAAACAGTCAAACACAAAGAATAGAAAACACACAGTTATTGGTCCATAGGGGGTAGTTGACCAATGTCCATAAGTGTTGATAAATGTTCATATAGTTGTTGAATGTTGAGTGTCCTGGATCATCACCACAGTTCTTTTTGTCAAGACACTAACTGTCCAACAGACCCTCCTGCATTGGCAAGGAAAAACTCTAAAATCCAGTGAGAAAAAAGTGAGAAACCTCGGAGAGACCCACATATTGAGAGAGTTATCGGCTCAACATGGACGAACGGTTATACAGTAGATCCAGGACCAAGGCCATACAGCGCAGGTCTTACTGTAGGTTGTAGAATGAGGACAGGTGGATCTGAGCCCAACTTAAGTGTTATCAAAGCCAGTGTAAAAAAGGCAGCTGCAGAAGACTGGAGGCCGTGGGCTGACCATACATCCTCTGGACTAGTCACCGAGGTGCACACAAGCCAAAAAGGTAAAGGTCATGATATCAGTTTGGTTTCATATTTTGGAGTGTGTTGCACTGACAGCGGCTCCACCAGTCACACACGCACCTCCTCTGTCCTTTGGTTCATACACAGAAGTCAGTGTGCTCTCGTCTGGTACAGTGTCTGTGTAGTGTGGGCAGCTGAACGCAGGGCTCTAACGCTCCGTACAGTGACTCACTCATGGAGCCTGGCCTCCTCTGTTACTGTGGCGCAGTGGCCCGTTTTCTTCTTACTGCTTTGGAATTATGACAAACTGCTGGTAAATGTCCAGCTCCAAACGGTCTGCTGTTGTTCCACTCGGTTTCACATACAGCGCCGACTTGTCGACGTCACATGAACAAAGTGACTTCAACCCCTGCTTTGTGTCGTAGAGCCTCAATCGTTTGGCTGCACGCTCCTGAACGAGAAAAGCATGTGAATAAAGTGAGTTTGGAACTGGGTGTCATCGCTCTGATGTCAGATCAAAGCTGTGGTGAGAATTATTTTTACTGTAGAAACCTGTGTGAGTGTGTATGTGTGTGCCTGAGTGTGTCCGTGTGTGTGTGTGTCCGTGTGTGTGCGAGTGACGAGTGAAAGCAACGGCTCAATGGTTAAGATCTGGTTCAGACCGGGTCTAAGTCCTGATTTAGAGTCTCTGGATATAAGGGAAGCAGAGGCCACGCACCAACATATTAAACGTTTGTTGGATTGAGCTTCTGTCTGCTAGACCTGTATATCATTACATATACATTTATATAATCATTATTGAACAGAGAGGGAAATGCATGGGGGTGCTAAAAAAAATCTTGGCAAGAACCCTTGTTGGGTTGAGTCTGATTTTGAAGGCACCAGAAATTGTTGCATATTGCAATAGGTGAATGAACAAAATAACCCCTTCAAACAGATCCAAAAGCCAATTCAGGTCAAATTTTAGCATAATTGGGTCCCTTAAATTGTTGCAGGTCTTCCATTTTGAGACTGAACTTTCTGAATCCATTGGCGGCGTTTGGGAGCCTGACATTTGGGTTGGTGGTGTCGGACTTGTGTGCACACTGAAAGAATTTGCTCTCTGCCTTGGAAATATCAATCCAAATGTGAAGAAGTGGGAGTCTGTGACCTTAAAGGTGCAGCGCGTGTCTAGGTCAGGTTAAATTTGGGGAGAAAGGTGTCTGCTGGGTAAACAGTGAAAGGGCAACTTTTTAAAGTTCCAATTTCAGATATTGTACTTCAATCAGGGATTAAGAAAAGGCTGGATTGTATGATATGTTGTCATTAAAATTTAATTTTAAATTTATTCTTTAGAAGTGTTTTTTATTCTTATTCTTATTATCTCTTTTTGACTGTTGCACTGAGCTAAAGCAATTTCCAAGTCTGTGACCTCCTGTTACTTACGTGGCAATAAAAAGGATTCTGATTCTGATTCTGATTATTATATGTACACCCATACATGTATATGTATGTATGTTTTATAATTATATATATATATAACCAGCTGGGTGACTCAGTTGGTGCAGTTGGAACTGTGCAGAACCCTCAAGCTCCCAGGCCTCTGGTAGAGGACCCGAGCTTAACTATATTAACAAAAACATATTTTAGAATTGTGCACAACTGTGTATCCAGCTCAAGAAGTATTAGTAATGACTGCTTCTGCTATATTTTTCTAAATTCAAACAAGGATATCATGCTTAAACTAAGGCAAAACCAGTATACAAAACGATATATACTGTATCTATATTTGTGCATTTGAAAGAAGGGCTGTGGGCCAGATTTGTGTTTTTGAAGTTGAACAGGCCAGCACTCGACTGTGTAGCAGGAACAGTAATACAGTGTATCCTCAATCGTGGAAGGTTCCTGATCTTTGTGGCGGTTAACTGGCTAGTGTTTTCTTCTCTCCCTCGACTGCAGAAAGAACACAGTCTTCTAGTGGAGTCCTGACCTTTTCTCTCTCTCTCTCTCTCTCTCTCTCACTCTTGCCTTCACTAGTTCTTTTCTCCGATGCTCATCTCCACCACACGCCGTCTGTCTGTCCGTCTCATCATTCCACCTCAGCGCGGTCGATTCTCCCTGACACAAACGCCAGCTCCCACGAACACAGATCGATATCAATATTTAAGCGCTCCAAATAAGCCAGGAGAAAAAAACATTTCACGAGGTATACAGGTAAAAAAAAGAAAGTTTTGTAACATTTTATTCAATTCTGAATGTATTGAGAAATTGTAGGGCAGTGTTAACAGGGGCAGTGTTTTGTATTGTCTCTTGCTGCCGCATTTTCAAAAACACAGCTCCTTGTTGAATTCAAAGAGGTCAACATTATACTACACTTGTTTTTTTTACTCTCCAGGACTCAATACCCAGTTTCACAGCCACTGGTACATTCTGGTATCTTTTCTGATGTGTGTATGATTAACTTGTGTAAAAATTAGCTGCTTGCTATAGTGACCATCTGCTATATCTGCTATATCCAATTTGCTTTTTCCTAAGCAACTTTACTGTGTCTAATCATTTCTAGTAATGTTTTACAGTTGTACCCAAATTATAAACGACAAAAATGTCCCGGTAACTTGTTCCTTCCTCTCAAAACAGTTAGATAACTAGTTTTCACATGCGTGTCATTTTGGCCTCTGTCACAGCCAAGATCTTATTTTTCAGTGAAAAAGAGAGGAACAGCCCTCCCTCAATCCGCTCTTATGTAAAAAACCAAATGTTTTCTAATTAGATAAAGACAGTATCTTGTGATCCCATTAGTTCTCAAAACATATTTATACAATCAAAACATTGTAGATACTCCAGCTACAACCAAGACATTTTGAAGAATGTTTATTTTCCCCTTGACCTTCGCGATCATATGAGAAACAAGCAAACACGGCCAAAAAAATACCTTGTGCAGATAGTGACTCAATCCTAAACGCTTCCTCTTGAAAGCTTATACTAAATAAGTAATAATTATTACAGAAATCTACTTATTGGTTGGTCACCTGAGTTAAGACTCTGGATTCAAATCCTGGTCGGAACAGGGTCTTTCTGACTGGAGTTTGCATCTTCTCCCTGTGCCTGCGTAGGTTTTTCCCCTTCCACTAAAAACATGCACAGTAGGGAAATCCTCCAGCTCCGGTAGTCCTGACCAAGCCAAGCATCAACATCTGGAGATAGGTTCTTGGGTGCCCTGAGAGACGCCCTAGTGGCATCAGGATGGGTCAAGCATGAATTGCCTTTCGGGAATAAATAAAGTGAACCTTAACCTTACTTACCTATATTTTAAAAACATTGCCCTAGCTTTAACCATGATTATGAATCATGATGTTTAGTGAAAGAAATAAGAAAATAAATGATTACCCTTTTGTGGCCTTCTCACTGTCCTGGCTTTTGTCCACATCTATCCAACAAACAACAGAATTTACCATTACAGAGCGAAAAGTTTCAGTTATTGCTAAAACCGGCACCTTTTGAGAAACAAACAAGAGCCTTTACACTTGAGAGGTAAATCGTAGGTATTCTTCGACACGTTGACGGGCTGCGTACATATATTCCACGCAGTCTGATCTCTCGCAAAGCTACTTTTGGAACTCTGCTGACACGCTGCAGGTGAGATGTCAGCCGCTCCTGATGCAATCATAAAGGGGAGAACTTTGTCTACTGAATGTTATTATCAAACAGAGCCATAATGGCACCCAAGCAGCAGCCAGCGCTGGCATTTCAGCTGTCACCCGCTCCCCCGTCACTCAACAGCAGTACATTTCATTTTGTTCCAAACGCATGACAGGCGTACAACGTTTAGTGTGATTGGAAAGTCATGTCAGTGTTTAGAAAAAAGGCAGGCATCACATTTGGGTTTGAGAGAGGAAGTTTTGTTGGGTAACTTTGGCAGGCTTGTTTTATATCAGGTGATACTTTTAAGCGAAACTTTGAAGAAAACAAAAAGTTTACCAGCCCTGATTCACAACACCATGGTGCATAAACAAAAGCAGATACATTTTTATATTGAAACCCAGTTAATTAAGTGATGTATATGAACATATTGTGAGGGATCTTGAGGGTGGTCTTAGTCAAAGCGTGCTGAACCCACACATTAAGAACCCAATTTGCGTACGATGCAATCTTGCAAATCCCTGTAGATTACAGTGGGGAAAAACCAGAAAACGACACATGAACTTGAACTACAGGCAGCAGCTCGAAAAAAGTGCTTAGGTTTTTTGTGCTGTAATGTTTTTATTGTGTTTTTGTTGTAATGTCTTTGTCCCTTTGTGTCCAGGTCACTCTTTTAAAAGGAATTTATATTAGTTTTATTTCACCAAGAAAGTCTCACTGAGGTTGCAAAATCTGTTTTTGGGAGTAAGGTCTCAATGAATTTTATCCTGGGTAGATAAAAAATTAAATAAAGAATAAAGAACTTATTCAACATTGAGCATCAGTTAATGAATATTTAGTTTCCATACTGCTACATAAAAAAATCTAATCTCATTTAAATCCAATGGTACTTTCTGTAACTAGTATATATTCAATCATAGCCGTGTAGCGCTATCACAAAGTTGGGTTCCATTATCAAGTGTAATGTCCTCCATGCTATGGCTTGGCGTGTGGACATATTGCTGTTTCGGCTGAGAGCAAAGGAAATGGACGAGTCAATGAGATGGCTTCTGCAGACATGATGTACGAGTGTGAGGCTGATGGAGCGTGCGCACGTGAGGAGTGTAGGTCTTCATTAGACACACTCAGTCCTGTCTGTGCTGGTCACTGGTGCATAGAGGTTCATGATGACACGCGCCTCCTGCACATCTGTCACACGCCAAACCCCCACCGGCTCAGGAGTCTGTTTTGTTTTTATATATATATATATATATACATAAATACATTAACAGTAGGACTCCCAGAATTCTGAAACTACTAGAACTCATTTTGACGGCTCCCATTTATATCACAATAAATAGTTCTAGATTTGCATTACTTTTTTGCACTTGAGAAATTCATACGGTTGTATCTTTAGTACATGGTCAAACTGTTGAATACAACATTGACATACAGTGAAAAGAAATTCTAACTGATGCAAGTGAACAGTGTGTTGCTATGGTAACTAGCACTTACTCCAAGCTAAAAAGAGCTCTGGTGTGTGTCGTCTTCTCTGTCTGATGCACACTGGGGTAGTCTTGCACAGTTTTTCCAATGTGGTTTTACTGCAAATGGCAAATAAATGAATCTGAATCTGAAAAGTCACAAAGTTGTAAAGACAAAAAACATACATAAGCAGAGTAAGTAACTTTAAAAAATGTCTAATTAACTGCTTTGATTAAAAAAAGATGAAGCATTTCACTTTTTAGGCTTCATAAATACGTTCTGTTTGTCACACTATGAAAGATTCTCGTTTAAGTAAAATCTAGAGAAAAAACTATGGCCTATAGCTTAATATTTTACACACTGAAAAAGTTTAATCCCCTCGCTTGCACTTATCTGTCTGTAAGTACTAAAATTGTGACAGAGGTTAAAAATACATGCATGTGAAAACCAAACTGAGTATGAGTATGTATGTTCTAAAATGTTATTTCAGTGAGAAGACAGGTGCCAAAACAACTCTATGGGAGAGAAGCTATTTTAAGAGATATGTAAAAATAAAAAAAATAAAACAAATTCTCCACATATTTTCCAAATCATTACTTGATAGTGATTCGATATACTAATCCGCTATATTAGATTTTGACTTTTCTGCTTTACCATCACTTCCTATCCACCCAAAAAAGGCCAAGTATTGCGCTTACCAGAATGCCAAAACTAGGCCTTTATCATTTTGGGATATCTTAACAAAATGGGCACCGAAAGATCTAGTGTCGCGACAAAAAATAGGCAGCATATCAGTCCATCCATCCATTTTCTCCCCGTTAATCAATTTCTGGGTCATGGGGGTGGCAGGTGGTGAGTCCACAGGAGGATGGCTGCTCTGTCGGTGACACCACAGCCTTGATCTTTCAGTGTGGGCTTCACGGAAAAGAGGGGTTAAGTCTTACCCAAGGACACAACGACAGCAGACATCAGTGAGAGTAGGTAGAAAAGGTCTTGTGGTGGGCTTGAATCCACGACCTTGAGGCTCTGGGGCCAATGCTCTACCAACTGAGCCACTTTTGCATATACTCTATAGCCAGAAAAAAACATTACCTTGTCATTCTGTAGAAATACAATGTCCTTTGCTCATTTGGTGTCAATCATCCCCGTGATAGCTCACATTCTTCTGCCATCTATGATATCCACTGTATAAAGGAAAAGTTTGGACTTCTTTTACAAATCTAAATTATGATTATGTGTTGGAAAAAAATATATATATATCACATTTAGAGTTTTTCAAAATTAGCAGCTAGTGTCACATTGCATATGATCAAACTATCACCTGAAGACATTTTTCTTTTTCTTTTTTACATACCTGGCAATCCTATAGGCACTTTTTAATACATTATTTTATCTTACAAAATATGGACTGAGCCACATCTGGTTTTCCTGATAAGTGGCTGTCCATGCAAAACGCCTGGCCGTAATCAAAATTTCCCTGTTTGGCTTCTCAACCGCAGTAGCGAAAAGTGAAATGGCTTGGTGATTGACATATACCGTGCACATCCAGCCGTGCCGTGTGGCTTTTGATCACAGGAGACTGGAGAGCGAACAGTGAGACTTCTGCAACTGTTAGACACCAGATTGACTTTATTCTGCACACACAAGGAGCTCGGAGGATTCAGAAATGTGAAATACGCACAAGGCTGGCTGCAGTTTAACAGATGGCATGAGTCAGGGGTAGCAGGTCTGCAACATTTATACCTCGCAATCGGGAAATTATGTAGACTACTTGAGCAAATGGACGAAGAAATACAGTTCTTTATTCAATTAGGCACAAATTAGATTTTGAAGGTTAAATGGGCAAAAACGTGAATTTCAGACATTTATGAACCACAAAGACAATTTTTTTTGTACAGCCCATAAATCACAACAGCACACCAGGACTTACCAAAGTTAACCATTCCCCAACAAATCAGAGAATCAAACAGTTCGAACACAGGAATAGCAATAATAACAAACATATAAGATAAGATAAGATACACTTTATTGATTTCACTGAGGAGAATTTACAGGTCACATTTGGCCTGGATAGAATCACTCAGATTGTGCTAAAGTACATGAAGTGTGCAACATGTTAAGGTCAAAAATATAGTCTCTTTTGTGCAGAATATATGGGGTACAAATAGAAGTGACTTAGCACTTAGAAGTTTTTTTCAGTCCTAGTGCAGGTTATTAGTGTAACTTAAAGTGACTTATTGTACAGTCTGACAGCAGTGGGGATAAAGGCCCTATGGTTGTACTCCTTCTTGCACTGAAGGAGCGCCTCAGCTCCTCTACAGTCCTGTGCAGTGGGTGGGAGTCACCTCCATCAAGTCACCTCCATCATGTTGTCCATGATGGAGGTGACTTGTCCCCCCTCCTGTCCCTCTCCTCCTCCAAAGAGTCCAGGGAGTAGCCCAGAGCGGAGCTGGCCCTCCTGACCAGCTTGCTCATTCTATTCCTGTAAGCCCATATGGAGTAGGATGACCAATATTCATAAATGTTAATACATGTCCCTAATTGTCCCATCTCATCACTATTCATAGATCTTCCTGCAAGAAATTACTGAAAATAAAAAAGTGAGAAAACTTGGGGAGGCCCATATCAAGAGAGGGATCCGCTCCCATGGTTGCACCTATATAGGCTATCCTATCTATAGGATTCATGCTGTAGAAGGAGGACTGAGGCTGTGCAGTGCGGAACTGAAGAAGAGGTGGAGATGGGGGTGCAACTTATCTTATACTGTATATAGGCATGAATGGGGCTAAAAACAAC